AGCATGAACATTTTCTCTGTGTGTGTTTTTCTTTGTTTTGTTTTGTTTTTTTTTTTTTTTCAATACTACTTTCTTGTGTCACTATTCTAGAAATAAACATTGTACTCAGTGGTCTAGCTTATTGATAAATGAGTATTCCAAAAATATCAACTGTTGATTGGTCATTTCAACATAAAAGGTAGAGATCAAATCATAGAGATATGATTTGATTAAGTTCTTTAATCATTGGAAATCCTGTTCTGATGTCAGCTTAATGATAAATCTAGTTATTTTGAAATAATTTAGAAATGTTTTCTTTTTACAGTAGGCACTGTAAAAATCTCTCTGTAAATAATTAGTTCATCATTCTTTCCTGTATGTGCGCGTTCATGTATAAGAAGCAAGAGGAAATAACATCTACTCAAAAATCTTTTCACAGCAAAATGTTTGCATACATAAATGCAACAGAATGCATATAAATGCAATTTGATTCTTTTCTTGTAAGATCCCATTAATCAGGATTCATGTACTACACAGTCAAATACCTAGCTAATGCTTTTCGAGCTGCCTCACTGTGCTTATGCCTGTAATTTGCTGCTGGGTCATTTGTCACATTCGAATCTGTAACCAGTTTATTCAAAAAAAAAAATCAGTGCATTTACCGTTGTCAGATAGAGGTACCTTTTTCTTATATTCAGTCTAGTGCTCACATGTAACTAGTGGTCATATATATCAGCTGCCTCTCTGAAGCTTCCCTGATTAAATATAACTTGGTAGTAAATAGTCTTTTTTCTCCCTCTCCTTTGCTGCACTTAATTTACTCATTCTTGATTTGTCTTCTGAGCAGTGAAATCACCATAACTGCCATTTTGGTCTGTCTGTCTTCAATTTCCTTATTCTACCGTAATGATATTGTGTCACCAGATTATGACTCTGAGATTTTCTCTGTTCAGGAAATATTTAATATATGTCCAGTTTTAAGAGGAAGTTCAGCTTTGATCTATTGTAGCTTCTGTGTTTATACAGGATAGTCAAGGGGCTTTGATCCAAGTCTTACTTTCAGCCTGAAAACACCCTTGATTTTTACCCATGTAGACAGGTGCATTTCTTTTCCACACAATCATTTTGAACATTGTGAAGGGAAGCTAGAGCTGTACTTGGCATGCTCTGCTAGTGCTGTTGCCAAACCCCCACCTGAAGGTCTGGAGGAACGAGAGGAGGGATATCCTTGAGGATCTATAGTTTCCATCCTGAATGTCTTGTACTTGCTTGGTTTCTCAGAAGGAAAAATAATGGCTATGTTGTACTGAGAGTGTTCATCAACATTTATTCATCATCTATGCAGAGGGACACATCAAAATGGTTAGAAACTGCTCTGCGGAAAACTGATGGGAATATAGACTAGAGGCGTGTATGTCCTGTGCAGCAGCCCTGCTGGTAAGAGATTCCAGTAATCATTGATTGGAATGACCAAAGAAGGTCTCAACTTCATGCATCTTGTAATGGGATTTTGAGTTGTTGGTCCATCATTTGGTAACTGAAGCATTATGAGGCTATATAAAGTGCATGGAAGCTTAGATTTCTTTATCATACCTCATGAACATTAAGCAATCTCTTTTTTCCATTTTATTCTTTTCCAAGGCTTTCAGTAGCAGCTCTCCTATTCTTTGTTTATCCCATATATTTTTCTCTCCCTCTCTCGTTTCAAGTCTTGGATGTTTTGAGTTTCGTGTAGATAGTTGACACTGTGGGTATTCAAAGCAAAAAAAGAGATCAAAGTCCAATACAAGTCCTCCAGATGTATTTTAAGTTTCATAGCATTTAGATGGATTTGAATGATAAAATCAAATAATCAGTGTTCTGCATGATAGTCTAGATAACAAGTTTTTAGGAGCCAGGTACTGCCTGTATATTTATACATGATATATAGAGCATTTTAGATGCTTACAAAATAGAGACATTGATAAATAGCCATTTATAGGATGCAAATTACAGGGATTTGCAATTTTTGGTAATCTCTTTGTTTTCATCTCTGTCATTTTGTGCCTCTGGGTTGCATCTGAGACATGGTCGTGTCAAATTTTGCCAGAAGCTATTCTCTGCAAGAACTTGGGTTATTTCCATCTTTCTCTTTCCTCCTTGCCCTCATTCAGAACTGCATAGCAGATAATACAAATAATTCCTTTACTACTTGGTAGGTATGCAAGGGCCTTTTCATCAGTTCATTTCTGCCTGACTTTTCAGAAAAGCAATAGAAAACCTGGACACTGGCAATAAAGTTCTTTTTGACACATTCTGCTCAGCTTCTTTGCCTCTCCTGATATGGCTGGTTTGTTTTTATTGCATCCTTCCAGCAGGTGGATGGAAGAGCAAGGATCAGTGAGGCAAGGAAAATGGGAACATAGGGAAAGATCCACCCTGAGTCCTCATGGCTGTTTAGGCTTGGAAATGCTTTCAGATATTAGGTGCGTGGTGATAAAATCATTTCTTGATCTGTGGCTTGCAAAGATGCACACACGTGACCTGATACGTATCAAAATGTACATGCACTCACACTTCATTTTATATACACATGCATAGGTTTGTTAATGCGCACACACACACAAATATTATTTAGCTAATCTTGTATTTGCTACAAGCAATCAGGACGCTACAAGCATCTACAGCAGCAAGTATCTTCACGCTTTTTGTGCCATATTATAATGCAGCAAAGATTTAAGGTTTCTTTTCATGTTTTTTTTCTGTCCTGCTGCATCTTCCATTCTCTTAAGTGGGGTCACCAGTGGAACCATTCAAAGTGCTTATTAATAACACACTCCAGCAGTGATGCACTCTTCAGAATGCTGAAATCGATTTTTCTTCTTTAAATACGTGACCTACCAGCATGACCTTTGTCCTAACACCTAATAATATGGGATGTTCTTGACGGCACAGGATATGAGTGCAGATGTTCCGCGAGCATCAGAAACAGCAGCCTCCGGGCCATTAACTTGGACAGTCTGGTGCTCTTCTAATGCAGTACTGAGCAACGTCTTATTAGGTAGTTGCACGGACAGTGCTGGTTCAGAGAGTGTTTGTGTTTGTGCTTCAAACCACAGTGATGCTGACAGCAAGTATGGAAAAGTACAATAAAGCATGCTAAATGTACCATTCACTTGTCTTTTAATGCAAGTTAGCAGCTGCTAGCAAAGAGGGTTGAAATGGTATATTGAGAGACTTGTGCTGCAAACCACAGTCCGAAAAAGTCTTGTTCCCAGCTTCCTCTAACAGTATTTACTCCTCACTGTTTGGTATGAAAAGTAACATATTCTGTTACTGATGTAGATCTTTGTAATGCTTGCTAATTTGCCATTGGATTGAAAATTGTGTTTTGATTGTATGGCAATATAGAAACTTAGCAGACGTATTTAATCTTGTTAACCTCAAGTTCTTCCTTATGTAAACACTACTAGATCTATACGTGAGTTTCCCAGATTTCTGAAACTTTGAAGCATTGGTTGGCAGTGACAGTGTCTTTGCATTAGTATACAGACATAGAGGATAGTATGGGACTCAGATTTATCTATTTTTGAACCAGTCCGGTGTCTTTGGGAGAGCTGTGTGCGCTTTCTTTACCTATACAGTGTCTTTGTTTAGTTTTCAGTGTCTCTAGGACACAGACATGGCTGTTTTGTGGGTGAGGAGGACAGCAATAAAATTCTGATCGTGGTTGTAAGCTCTCTGAGATTCTCTAGTGCAAATGAATTATAAGGCAGTTAGACTTACTAAAATGAGCACATAAAGATGAGAAAGTTGAAAGCAAAGCTGAAGAATTCCACAGGTCTGAGCATTTTAAAAATGCACATGCAGGAAATTTTTAGTGAGCGTTGTTACAGTTTTCTTAGGTAGAACTCAGAACTGTCTCTCGTAGTTAGAGTTTTATGTTCTAGTGTGTTTTGATTGCTTGGCATCCTTGGAGTGAGATGGAACCAAGGTCTGTTCCCCACAGGAATGGACATGCTGCAGCAGAAGTGCAGAGGCTTGAAGGAGACAACGTGTCTTGCCCTTCTCTCACGTGCATCATATGCATATCCCAGAGGTCTCGGCATGCTTTTGAGGCAGTTTGGATGTGAGCATTCAGAAACTGAATGGGTTTCATGTGATGAACTCTGTCTATACCCATAATCACCTACTGCTTTTTAGGCAAGAACTCATTCTCAGGTAGTACTTGGGAAGTGAGATGTTTGCCTTGGAGCCTGTTTAAGTCTCATGTTCATGTTTAAGTCTCAGAAATATTATTCAATATGAGCCATTGGGGTTTGTTTCTTAGAAAAGATATTTTTATGAGTGATTCTTTTCTCAGTAACTTTGTGGCACAGTTACAACCATTTTTTCTGCTGTTGTCTGAAGGAATTGATGGCCCAGCTGCTTTTCAAGAGGATGTTCAGAAGATAGGAAGTCAAGTGCAGATTCTCACTGTTGGACAATCGAGCCATGATGAAGACGATGAAGAGAAAATGGCTAGCAGCCAACAACAGCAGAACAAACAGGATCTTAGAACAGCATTGCAGAAAAAGGGTAAGTAGTCAAAGTTGCCTCCTTATTCTTACTGCTTTAGGTATGTTGATGACTCCTTCTGTTCTCACTCCCAACATTATTGTCAGCAAAGATTGGGACTCTGTTTTTTCTGCCTGTCAGTTTAGTAACTGCTACTTTCAGTAGTGTCTTTTAAACAGTAAAGAAGCTCTCTCTGACCCAAGAAACAAGAGCTCCCCAAGTGCTGTCAGTGCCATGTGGCTTCTGCAACTGTAATGCAGTACCCCTCTTGAAACAGCAGGCAGATGTTAGTGCTTATATCCATCTGTTCACATTTTTCCCATTATAGAGCTCTGGAAATCACATACTTGAGGACTGAAGAAGCGTCTGGAATAGCAACATTTAAACTAGAGTGTTAGTTTTAATTTTACTGTTAGTTAAAATCTATTCATGTTTTCACGATGTATAGTGTTGCTTGCAGAGGTGAAAAATGACAGAGCTGTGAACTCTGCAGCATTTCTTGGAGATACGGAGCTCTCAGATGTGCTGGATTTTTTTTAGGCGTGCGTGATTTGGGAGATAGATTGTGTACGCGTGCATTCATGCGCCTGTTCCTTCCTTCCTGTGGCACTATTATCTTTCGTCGGACATTAAACGTAGGAAGGAAGAAATCCTAAAATCTTCACAAAGCTTCTTCTGAAGGCAACTGCTTGGGAGTTCTTCTTCAGTGTATAGCCTTTGAAGCTGAGATGGCCTCAGCCAAGACTGCTGTGATGCTTTAAGAATAAACTCTTTGTGTATAAGGAGCAAAATATAAGTGCAGACTTGACTCATCTAGAATAAACTATTCATACCTCAATGCCAGCCTCTCATCTGCAGAGCAGTTCTCACTAGGATTCATTTTTTTCTGGGTTATTCTGCAGATGTGAGCAACTTCATCTGAAATGGGCAGGTTTTCTCCAAGTGGTGCACTTCCTGGGCATTTAAACGGGAGGCATGTTGCCATGAGTTACAGGTTCTGATCTGTGCAGTGATTGTGTTGTCTTAGAGTCTGGCTCAGAATATTTATTGCTATGCACACTAGTTACTAGTGCCCCAGCTGACTTAAAAATTCTCAAATGAGGTCAGGTCTCTCAGATTTATTGCTTTGGAGGTCATTTCTATTTTTGATGTTTCTTCTTCAGGTTAACATAAAATTTCATTCTCTCTGTTTTTTGGTCTATTTTCAGTGGAAGCATTTTTTTTTCCCCTAGTTGTTTCATGTTCTTAAGAGTACAGTAAAACCTTTTCTTAGCAAGGTCTGAGTGTACTCCTGGCAGAGACACCAGCTAAAACTGTTCCACTAGTTTGCTTAGATGTGGATGCATTTGTCTTAAATGAGAATGCAGGGATTTCTTTATTTTTATTAACGACAAGGCTGTGCTCTGTGAGACACAAAGCAAGGTATGAAGACAGGACTGCCGCTAGTGGTCTCTCCACAAAGTATTTTTACTCTCATTGTGTGGTTTGCCCCTTGATGCCAGTGGAGGAGGCTTGGCAGGCAATTTTGAGTATGTCAAGATTCATGGGAACCTTTATGTAGAGCTAGGGCTTTTCATAGGGATTCCCAATTCTGTTTCACAGTCTACAGCACATCCTTACTGCTAGGTCTCCATTGGTCTAAAGACCATTTAGAGTTGCTATCATCCATCGATCTCTGTCTTGGAACAGTAGTAAAGAAAAAGCTACATGGAGAAGTGCTAACTGGCCTAATAGGAAAAAAACAGGTTGATTCCCATTAGAGTTACTTAACCCTGATTTGTTCCCATTCTGCTCTTTAAAAGTGACTTTATAGAGAGAACTTCTGTATGTCTCTTAGCTATGTTCTCCAAGGATCCCTCAGAAATCCAGTTTCTGTTACAAAACAATGCAAAGAGAATATGCTACTTGCAAACAAAATACCAAATACTATTTTTGAACCATTTTCTTATTACAGGAAATGGTCATCCTTTCGGTTTCAGTCACCTTAACTTCTAAACTTCCTTTCTGGCAAATGAGCTACTAGGACAGACTTCCTTAAGTTTTAACACTGAATAGATAACACTTAGTCTTCACATTTGCCAGTTTCCTAAATGTCTCTATAAGGTCAAAAACTTGCCATGGAGGGCATACAGTGCACAGGAAGGTTTGTGATACAACTGTATAGCATCGGTGATGCCTTATGAAGCTTCAGTTCTGCAATTCAAGTTTTTCTGACTTAATTTGAAGAGCTGAAAAGGAAGGTGACAGTGGATATAAGCAGGTGAAAGGTAAACTTGCTTGTGCAGAGAAATGTTTTTTCCCTAAAGCATAATTGAAAGTTCTGGCAGCAGCGTTGTCGCCCCGTCCATCAGTCCCTTAGTCCTGTTGATAAACCAGGCCTGTTTGCACAACTGAGAATTTGCAGAATCAAGCCCATGGATTTTTTCCTTTCCCAGATCCCCATGCAAATACATCCTGGTCCACTTCCACCTCCCAATCCAGTCTTGTCGCCCTGGATCATGTTCCTGGTAAGTATAGAAGGAATAAGTTAATTATGCCCGTTCTGCTTGACTCCAGAAATCTTTGCATTTATCCTTCTGCATCTGACTTGCCAGTAGCGAAACTTCTGGACCAGTGTTTCTCTTCCCCCTTCCTCCCTCCCTTTTGTTTTTTTTAGTCTTGTATAGTCTGCCTCTTACATGTGGGCTTTGAACAGGATGGCTTCATCTGCATGATATTCCTTGAAAAACTAGGCCTGGCAAATGTCCCACTATTGACACGTTCTGCTGCCAAGTCATCTGTGGTGTTCAAAGTTCTGTTCCCTTTGAAATGTCCCAAGCTGAGGATTCTTGTAAAGTCAAATTTGTAAGTGTTCTATGGAAGTTCCTTTGTCCTGGGCTGGTACTCTGATTTTTGCATCAAATAAATATTCAAGAGAACATTTCCTTGATATGAATGTTTCTTCTCTCTTTAAGACTTGCTTCTCATGAGTTTACATAGGATGAGGTAAAAGTATGCTGTGGGAGGATTCCTACTTTAATTGTTAGGATCTTCATATAGCTGTATGCATTGTACTGTCAGCTCCAATTTAAGATTTGAGATCCTGGCTTGTGTTAGAAGCACTTGATTGAACAAAAGAGGTTTATATTTTAATTCCTAGCAGATATTGTTTGTGTTTTTTGGGGTAACTCAGTGCTCTCTGTAGAATGGAAATTATATTTCCTTTCTCGTTTGTTGAAATGTTTTAGCCTTTCAGGGCAGATCTTGTCTCATCCATGTATTTGTACACAAGGAACTCCTGCCTGCCTGCCTTCTCACCTGTATGCCTCAGGGTGCAACAATAAAATAAATGATATTTTTGCCTCCAGTTTGTATATTAGTATTTCAGGCAAACGCTTTCTTTTCAGGCATTTCAAGCAGCATGAATTTTGATGAGGAAGAGGATGAGGAAGATGAAGACAGTTCCAGTTCTTCACAGTTAAACAGTAACACTCGGCCCAGTTCTGCCACGAGCAAGAAGTCCAATAAGGTAGGGGGTCAGTATGAACAAGTGAGGGTGTCTGTGTGCTGTGAGTGCAGTCAGCACTGGCCTGGCTTTCTTGTTTCCTTTTAAAATGCAACAGAGTATCTCTACGGTCATTTGCTGTGATACTCTCAGGGCACACAGAAGGAAGCAATGAAAATAACGACTTGGATAAAAGAATAGCAAATATTGTCTGAACTTGAATGAAGAGGAAGATAAACAGTCAATATTTACTGTCTCTTGCAAGTGCTCAGAAGGTTCTTTTGGTGTCTATTGCCTTTTTCTGTGCAGTTTCCCACTCTATTTTTGCTCCTACTCTACAGAGATAAAATAAGACTTAGAGATATTTAAATATTTACATCACAAACACTGGCTAAATCACTTGTTGATGCCCCGCTGTTTTCTGTACTGTACGAACTTCTTATTTCTTTTACATCTGTCTATGGCCTAATCTGCCCATTTCTTTCTTTTGTCAATAACCAGCACTGTTCTTCATTGCTATGACTTCTCAAGAGAGAATTATATTGGGAAGGGGAGGTGTGGGCCAAAGCTTATTCTGTGCCGTTGCAACACTCTAATGGTGCAGCTGCGCTGTTCCACTCGGCCCAATGTGGTCTGAGTAGTAAACATCGTGCCTACACCGTTCCAAAGATCTGCGCCTTCGGCTTTAAGTCGCCAAGAGCCCAACAGATTGAATGGGGACAGATGACTAACTTGAGAAGCTGCCTTGAGGACCATGGAAGAATTGGAACAGAAAATACTATATTTCCCTTTTGGTTTGCTTTTTGAAGTGCAACTGTCATGAAATGTCTTTACTCTGTAATTATAACTTTATGTCTTAGCACTGAGGAGATCTGAGTGTTGCTTACTGTTCTAGGAAGCAGCCTCAGCCCCTAGTCCTTCCACAAACGAGCCTCTCATACACGTTGATGACCTGGAGGAATTTGCTGTAAGACCTGCACCCCAGGGTATCACCGTCAAGTGCAGAATCACGAGAGACAAGAAGGGAATGGATCGAGGGATGTACCCTACTTATTACCTCCACTTGGAAAGGGAGCATGGTAAAAAGGTCATAAAATAACTTGAATGGCATATCAGTTTCATCTGAATATAAAAATCATTAAAAGCCTGAAGAAGTCTGACAATTTTAGATAGATATTCCCATTCCTTATGCTGTTCCAAAAGCAAAATGACTTTGTTCCAATTCCTTTCTTCATGTATATCTGATCTTTGGCTTTAAGAGAATCCATGCATGGTAGCTTAATGTGACAGTCAGCAGTTAGAGCTCTTTGCATTTTGTGGTTTGAACAGCGTCTATTTTTAATTCCCCTGGAAGAGCTAGTGCAGCTTAGAATTAAACATTTAACAAAATACTACAGGCTTAATTATTTAAACCATAAATAATAGACTGAGTGGTTGAAAAGTCACTTTCCCTGTGTGATTTTTGTCTGTTTTTTGCTAAGTCTCAGGTGGCATTCTATGATGCTGGTAATGATGCTGGAAGATAGAAAAATTGCCTTGTAGATTCCATACATCAAAGCAAGATACAGCATGTGTGAGTCCCTCTGGCATCCTAAAATACAATGTTTCTTTTATTGCTTAGGTGTTTCTGTTAGCTGGAAGGAAACGAAAGAAGAGCAAAACCTCTAATTACCTCATCTCCATAGACCCAACTGACCTGTCCCGGGGTGGAGAGAGCTTTATTGGAAAACTGAGGTAAACACTGATACATCTATTTTTTTTTTTTTAACATAATAGAAATTTAATTTGCAATTAAGAAATCTATAATCCACTCTGACTTTTAAATGACAATCTTGACTACACTATAGTGTGGTAATTGTCTTACAGCATGCCCCTGCTTGAGCAGGGAGGTTGGACTAGCTGATCTCTCGAGGTCCCTTCCAACCGGTGATTCTGTGATTTTCAGATATCTGAGGCAAGTTTTCAAAATGTCTCAAGTACTTAAGAGACAGTAACTTATTAAAAGTCAGGAGGATAGATGCTCTTAAAATGCTCAAAGGCCAGATTCTCAGTGGTGTACAGACACCTAAAGATGTAGACAATCCAATGGGATTTGCAGTGCCTGAGCAGATTGTGTCTAGGCTGTCTTGATATAAACACTTTTAAGGTTCTGTTACTTAGATATTCTGAAAATACCTTGTCTTTTGCCTTGTACTAAAGGCCTTCTTATTTACAAGTAGTGCAGTTCTTTTAGAACCACATGCTTCTTTTCTACCTGTCACCCCATTGTACATCCGTGTTGTTCATATATGCCTGGTATCTCTCAATGTATGTTTAGATCGTCAGTGCCTGAGAAAGGGACCTTATCACCCCTTGCTGTTTGCCTGCATGGATCTCGGAACCTAGTGTGCTACCATAATGTAAACATAGCATGAAGAAAATAGAGTAATAATATGCTCAAAATCTCGTTTGTATGACATCCATTTAAACAGTAAAAGTTGTCCTTATTTATAACTTTATGAAAATCACTGTTTATAGTCTAATAGAGCTAGTGGTCAAACAGGTAAGAAAGTAAATATTAAAGAGCAAACATATTGTTAAAAACAAACCTGTGCCTTTACACTTTTGTTATTGCCTATAATCCAGAAGTTGCTATTCATTTGTGATTTGAAATGACAGCTACTTGCACCTTACATTATTTATCTTTCTTTTAGGGCTATAATACAGTAAAGAATATATGGTTCAGGCAGTATCATTGACAAAAGGCAATTTTTTTTTTTCCATTTTTTTTTTCCTGATAGATCAAATCTTATGGGAACCAAGTTTACAGTTTATGACAATGGAGTAAATCCAGTGAAAACAACAGCAAGCCTGGAGGCGAATATCCTACGTCAGGAGCTAGCTGCTGTTTGTTATGTAAGTACTGCTCACAGGCAAAATATGCAAGAAGGAGTGGTTTGCTTTCTGAAATAGCCTTTCCTTCTCACAATAATATAAATCAAATTCATGCTTTGGTGTAATCAAACACCTGGTCTTCACTAGAGAAATCAGGATTTGCTGCTGAAAGTGGAGGTGAAAAACACCGTTTTCTCACCCAGGGTCAGTTCTCACCTTTGGTCAGAACGTGTTGGAGCTTTTACGCAATGCCCTCGAAGGGATAGGAAGCGTCACAGCCGTGTGGGCACCACCTGAGAGAGCCCACGGATCTGGAGGAATGGCTAGGCCAGTGGAAATCCCACACTAAGGCACAATGCGATGACATCTTGTCACTTAGAGGCAAAATACAGTGACTTTTTGGAGGAGGCCTCTCTGATTTAAAAATACAGGTAGCTAGACAGCCATATCTGCAGCAGTGGCTGAAAGACTTGGGATACAAACTCTGGGACTCCCTTCTACTAGGAAAACTAAAAGAAAATTTGAGATGCACCTGGCTAACAGAAACTAGCCTACTGTGGAAAGGCACTTGCAAGGGATAAGGACAGCTGTGAATCAGGACATAAAACACAGTTCTCTTGTTGGCATTGAACTACTAACTATTTTGGTGAGGATACTCCTTCAGTCCAGAAATTTCTTGGTCTACGTAGCACTTCCAGTCAAAATTGGTAGATATGCATCCACAAAAAGTTTCCTGTTTTCACAAATCAGTAACTTCTGACAAAGATATTCAAACTTCCACTTTCTCCTAAAGTTCCTGCACAGCTCTCATCAGGGATGCACTGTCAGGTTTGAGGTCCAGCTGTCCAAGCATATCCTATGCAAATCCAAGTATTGTGTTCCTGGAAATGTCAGCCTCCAGATATGGGAAGCAATGTGCCTGGAAGCTTTAGAAGGTATAAAAAAGCAGGGAGCTACATTTCCCATATAAAGTGTTGAAAGCACTGAGAGGCAGCAACATTACCTGCCAGCATGTTCTTTTCCTGCTGCTGAGCGTTATTCTTGTGTTAGTATAGTAAAAATGATGTGTTTCTCCCCATGCTGTATTATTCAGGCGCTTGGCCTCTGGATTGACACTCCACTGCTCTGATCTTGCAAACCTGTTGAAACTCTGAGAGTCTCAGGAAATCCATCCAGCAGGACAAAGTTCATGATCTCCCATCAGCTTAAAGCTGGAGTGAGGTTTCAGCAGGAATATAGAAGAACTTAACGTGTTTAATAAACATGTTAAATAGGAGGGCATTCCGTTGAGCCAGGCAATTAATCTTCTGAGGTAAACTGGAAATACAAGGAGAAAATAAAATAATTTTTTTAAAGCATTGGAAAGCGTTTTTGTGCAAATTAACAACAATGACATTTGAACCGTTAACCTTGCCAAATTAAAAATGCAGTTGAGTTTGGTGGAGGTAACTACAAGTGTAGCATGCTTCTGGAAAGAACAGAACTACTGCTACTGTTTGGAGAATGTGGCTAAGGCTATTTATATATGACTGTTTTGAAATCACCAGTTTAAAAGTTCTACATTTGTATAAGAAAATGACTCATTCCACTGACATATCATTACTTATGGAGTAAGGTAGCAGGTTGCTCGTGTGCTGTGGCCAATAGGACAAAGGAAAATCTTAAAGATATTTCACTAATAGTCAGGCTTACTAAAGTGAGATTGTTATTCTGGCTACAGCAGAACCAAAGAAGAAGGCCAAAAAGGTCATTGCCTGAACACTTTTATCCTTAGGAAACTTTTTGATTTCTGCCTTGAGATTTCTTCTTTGAAAAAAACAAATAGCAATATGTTGAAAACACTGCTGTGTAGCTTGCTGCCTCTCAGCTCATCTGATGAAATGCCAATCTGGAGAGTGAGTTGTGGCCACTTCTGCAGACCTAACGAACATGGCCTGCAAAGTCATCTCAGCAGGTCTAATTTATAGTGGGAGAAGCAGGCAAGGCTTGTACTGCTATGTCTGGAGTAACCGTATTGAAATATCTCTTTCTGGGGCTTACCTTAAGGCATAGAATCCTTCAAATCCTTCAGGATGGAAGGATTTGATCTCTGGAGATCATCTAGTCCAACCCCCTTCATCCTCAGGGTCACCTAGGGCACGTGGCACAGGGTTGTGTCCAAGCGGGTTTTGAAGACCTCCAGAGACGGAGATACCACAACCTCTCTGGCAGCCTGTTCCAGGGCTCTGTCACCCTCGCTGTTAAGAAATTTTTTCTTAAGTTCCCGTGGAACTTCTGGTGCTTCAGTTTGTGTCCATTTGCTCTAGTTGTATCAGTGGCCACCACTGAAAAGAGGCTGCCCCCTCCTCCTCACTGCCTCCCTTGAGGCTGTGATACACTGATCAGATCCACCCTCAGCCTTCTCTTCTTCAGGCTGAACAGGCCCAGCTCTCAGCATTTTTCAAGCAACTTGGAAAAAAAGTAGTGTAAGGACTGACCTTCATCACGTGCTCTTAGCTGTTTTTACTCTTCCTCACTGATGTCAGGCTAGCAGATTAATAACCCTGCAGCAGCACCTAATGGCTGATTGAAGAGTCGCTGTGGTTTTGTGCGTAGCTGTGAAGGAGGAATTACCAAGAGGCAGGGTGTGCAACTGCACACCAGCGCGGTTGGCACCAGGACTTTATGCTCTGGCTTCCTTTATATCCCCAGAAGCTCATGCTTCTGTTGGCATCCGACTCTGCAAGCACAGTTGATAATCTGAGGTGTGACTCAGATTCTGCAAAGCGAAAGCAAACCCAGCATGTTTCTGTTGTGCCTTTGTACTTGCGTTGTGATACAAGGTTTTGGGGGTTTAGACTTTGTGGAAGGGCAGTTTTTGCAGACTATGTCAAAGACAAGGCACACTGATCTGTAAGCCAAGTCCGGATAGGGAAGTAGCTGAAGTCGAGGAAAATTTGGGCATAACTAGAACAATCACGAATTTCTTAGAGAAATGTTTTCAAGCAAGAATTGGGATATGCAGCACACAGCTTTTATCATGGCAGCTATAGCCATCCTGACAAAATGCTTGCATAATTTCATGAAAATGCATAATATTTTCAAAGCAAAAGTGACAAGAGGTTCTGTGCTTCTTCAGTCAAGTTTGCTGTGATGCCTTCTCGCAGGAGCTGATTGCTGGCTGGGCTGGGGCACACACTACAGCTTCTCAGTAACAACTGGCTATGTCTGTAGCTGATTGAAATTATTGAAGTGCCCATCAAGTCAGTAGAGCTCTGCCAGCTAAGAACACTAATTTTGATTTCCTATGTAAAGCAAGACTGTCGGTGATATTAAAATGCTGTGAAATAAAAATTTACTCCATATTCCCCTAAAAGTGCTATTTATAGTTCTGAATTTACACACATAAAATACTATGTGGTGAGGGAAGTAGAAGAGTCACAAGGAAATTTGTTTGGATGCAGATATATTGAAAATGCCTGCTCTTAAAGTTTCTCTTCTATTCTTAGCGTTTTTCTGACATATTCCATATTTATACATTTTTTTCCTTTTAATTTCAGCAAGCAGCAGGTAGAATTGGCAAATAAAATATTTGCAATCAGAGATTAACAGAGGATTGTGCAACTGGAAATTGTTCCATTCCTGTATCGCTTGGCAGAAGTTTTGATTTTAATGTTTTTAAGTAAATCCAAAGAATATGATGCTGTTGTTTCAGAAGGATAATAATTCTTGTTGGGAAGGAAGTGATTCTCCTCTATTACTTAATTTTACCCTGAACAGAGTCTTCAACACGTCAGCATCTAAATGAAGTGTATATAGCATAACTGCAGCTTGATGAGAAGAGCTTTTAAGCAGTAGCAGAGGAGACCAAAATTGACAGTAGCTAGTGAAAAGTGAGCACAAGCAAGAATCTTTTCTTAGAAATGATCTTTTGCTGGGCTCAGGCTCTCCTGTTCACAAAATGTACTGGCAGTCATTTCAGTTTGACTCCCACCACGATACAGAACCAGGAAGCTGCTTCCAACTGAACCGATGACATGGATTTAGTCTGTCAAGGGCCTTGATGTAAGTGCTTTAGAAAACAGGTCGAACATCTCCCATTGATGTGTGTGGTTACGACGATGTATAAATATAGCTGGACTGCCTCAAGAGTCTCCAGCAAAATAGCTCAATGAGATTTATCTTGCACGCGTGACAATCTTGGATAAGTTGTCTAAAGTCTCCAGATGGTTCGCTGAAACAGCCAAAGTAATTTCAAAGGTCTGACAGATGGCAAAACTTTTTCTGCATGAGTAGATTTTAGGCATGGATTTTCAGATGTTTCCAGTGAGTGGAAAACAGTCACTGGCTGTGTGGATTTTTGCATGCAAAAGTAGAGAGATTGTAGAAAGCTTTGTTTAAAAAAAAAAAAAAAAGGTTTTAAGTGTATATAAGGGGAGACATGTGAATTACTTGTCAGTTCTGAAAGTACCAGGAGCAGAGATGAGAGCCACCTCTGGTGGAGCCTGCAGGTGACCAGTCCTTGGCATCGTGCACCAGGTCACTGGGAGCAGCACCCATCGGAATTTCCATGCCAAGATTCTGTAGCACGTGGGCACAGCCCTTCATGGGGAAAGGCAGGGGGAAAATGCACATGAGCAGAAAACAAAACAAAGACATAAAACACATGAAGGAATGAGTTTTCAGAGGTGTTGCCGTGCACCTCTCTCACACATACTCATTTTAGCGTGAATTCTACTGGATTTTACTGAGCAAGTTGCAAACTATCACTCTATATTTCCTTCTCTTGGGATTGAAGAGGATAACTTACTGAAATACATAGCCTCACATGATTCAGTGAAAAAAATGCCTCATCAAAAGCAAGATTTCAGGTGAACTTGGATTTTAGTGATTATTTTCTGAGAGAAGAGTGCAGTGCTGGTGTTTGAAAACCTGGTTGGAAAGGCTCTAAATGGTTTAATGGAAGAATTTGTATTTTTTGTGGATATGTTGTTGGTGTCTGTGTTACTTCTCTGCTGTCTCTGCCTTTCTAGCTCAGAAAATCTGCATTCATGCTGGTATGTTTATTTTTCACCATCCTTATTTCCAAGTCTAGCATATCTGAAGACTTTGTAAACCACAGCACTGCGAACAGATGCTCTTACTGGCAGCTTTTGCTCGTTTGCTTTTGTGCTGGCTATGGAATAAATGGAGTTGGTCCCATATATTTAATTTTGTTTCTCATCAAAATATGTGGTTGAATTTTATCATATTTAACTTAAACTGCTTTATTTTGGGACCTTATTTTGGGATCAGTATCCAAGCAATCTGGTTACATATCCTTTTTTAACAAAGAGATTTTATTTTAAATGGTACTAAGGTTGCTGGCAGCCGGTTGCAGGAGTGTTTGTGGCAACACTCCCCAAATCTATTTTTCCTGTTGTCGGGGCTTCTAAGACAAAGCCAGAATGTTTTACAGGGGCAATAAAGGTAGGAATTTTGAGATCTTTGCTGAACTGACTAACAAGTGTTTCCTTATGTTGCCAATGTATATGTTTTTCTGAAGTTGTTAAAGAAAAACAGAATGTGATGAATTCTTTTCTAAACATTTTTTAGGAAACAAATGTCTTGGGATTTAAAGGACCTCGCAAAATGAGTGTGATCATCCCAGGAATGAATATGGACCATGAAAGAGTTTCCATCAGACCACGGAATGTAAGGCGTCCCATCAGTCAACAGCAATGACAACTTGGATTATTTTTCAGTTAGAGTTGTTGTTTTGCAGCTTAAAATGTTAAGAGGTTAAAAAAGTCACTCTGTGTTTGAACAGTTGTAGAAATGGGATGTGCGACTAGTTCTCTGACTCATAGGAGCAGTTCAAATAATAACACATTTTGATAACGAGATACAGCGGAGCTTTTCCAGGCTGTGGAAAGGATTCAAATGCATTATCTCATTCAGATACCACAGAGTTTTCTTGAGGTATCTGACTTGATGATGTAGTGCTGAGAATTGAGGGGGACAGTTTAGTCTTTGGTCTGTTTATTTGTGCTTTTTGTATGAATTTATTTTTTGCCTTGTGAAAGTATTAAACTGAAGTGTGTGTATCTGGTGTGTGCAGGAACATGAGACACTTCTTTCAAGATGGCAGAACAAAAACACCGAGAGTGTCATTGAGCTGCATAACAAAACTCCTGTCTGGAACGATGACACCCAGTCCTATGTTTTAAATTTCCACGGTCGAGTCACACAGGCCTCAGTGAAGAACTTCCAAATTATTCATGATAATGACCGTAAGTAGAGCTCCATGAGTGAAATGTGTGGAAACGGAGTTGCACATGTAGCCTGACGGTGGTTCTGCCCTTACTGATGTTACTAGAAGGAATTTAGTTACCTGGATCCAGCTCACCGCTCTGACTTGTGCGGCCATGGCTGTTGTGCAGACTGGCTGTGTCAAAGCTCCTGTTTGCCACTGCCAGGAGCGACTCTGCTATTTGCTGCCTTTGTTTTCTCCCTTGCTGCCCGGAATGTGAACTGAGCAGCAGCGCATTCCCTTTGTTATAACTGCTCTCACTTGCACCAGTCCTGTAGTACCCAACCCGATACAGTAGCACCCTCACTTGGAGGCTGCTTCCTCCAGCCTCGCATGGCCCCATAGCCCTGGGGCTGAGGTATGAGTGCACTAGCAGGGGAGATTTGCTGAATTTGCACCACTTGGCACTTACTTTGGGCACGCCTAAACAGACAGGAGGTTCTAGCCCACACTGCCTTTGAGCAATGCCATGCTTAGACAACAAGGGAGTGGGGGAGCTGGGCTAAGAATCACTGTGGCTGCGCCTGGCTGCGAGCTAGACTGCCTTTGAAACATTGGTGTACACATTTGCTGCATTTTCTAATAGAAAATCATCAGGCCTACTCCAGGAATGAAGTAATGTGTTTCAGGCTGCGAATGAGGCTAAAATTTTCCCTTACAAAAAAAAGTACAAAAAAAAAAGGCTGAGGAAAAACTGCTGTATTTCATATAATTGAGAGACGTGCTCAGCACTAGATTGCAATCATATGTCTTCTCCTTCCCCCTTACTTATCCACTTGCCTAAAGAAAGAATTGAATTAGGTGGTAGTTCATATATGTGAAATTCAGCACTTGATCTCTATAACGAGCTTGCCCATTTCACGCAGAAGCATTTATCTCTGTGTCTGTGAAATTTCATGCCATATAAAAGCAAAGCGCATCTTGCCATCGGTGTAGTTCATTGAAAGTCAGTGCCAGTTTGCACCGCTCAGCGAGCGCAGCGCCAGAGCGGCCGGAGCGCTGGGCGCTCGCCTGTGCGGTGCCACCTGGCACCCCCAGTAACGCCGCGTGCTTTGTGACCTCTCTTGCAGCCGACTACATCGTGATGCAGTTTGGCCGCGTGGCCGAGGACGTGTTCACCATGGACTACAACTACCCCATGTGCGCGCTACAGGCCTTCGCTATCGCCCTTTCCAGTTTCGACAGCAAGCTGGCTTGTGAGTAAGGGGCTGCGGGAGAGCCTCCTCTCGGAGAAGGCCTCGTGCCCTGAGATTCCCAATTCCTGCTGGGGTCACTGACGGTCCGTACTGAACAGGTCAGGGAAAATGCAGTTCTGGAGGACTACTGTGTTGCTGGGGAGAAAATAAAAAGAATCTTTTTAAAAATTCAGGACATTCAGGAAATAATGTTTTCCTTTTTTCTGTCATATTTTTCTGAAAGTGGCATCAAATTTGTGTAAATAGAAGTCCTATCCTGTGTTCTTGGTTATGCTATGGAGATGTGCCATGATGTACTGTAGCGTGGCTCTAGTAGCACCCTTATAACGGGGTGTCTTTTCTAAACCCAGAGGGCGTGCTTTCAAAACATTTCTTTTTACATTTAAGAATTATTCCAAGGCTGCAGTCATACCTCAAGGTTGCATTCCTGCATTGGATAATAAGAGCTTCACATCATCCAACGTAAAAGAAAGATCACAACAAAGATGCACTTTTTTTTGAATTTGCAAGGATCTGGTGTAGCATAAACCAAGCCTGAGGGTTGGAAACCTGAACTGGACTGAACTTGATGCGTTGCCGTTGTATCTGTAGAAGGGCGTGGTGAGTTTTAATTGCAGTAGGAGGAACTGGAGAAGTAGAAAGCACAAAATAACGTTGCACAAGTCACTTGAATTCTGAGTTGTCATTATGTTTTAACATCTACATGTTTTTAATTTGTTTAAAATGAAAATGTGTAGGGAGTACAGCAAAGGAAAACTCTGTAGATGCCAAGAAAGCCTAACTTCTGTTGAATTTGGCATGTTGCTTGTTGGGAATTTATATCCTTGTATTGCTGTGGCAATTGAAATGCCTATTTTGTATGATACGAAGTGATATGAAAAGTTAGATAAAGGCTGTCTGCACAGAACCTTATTTTAAGCAGGCTGTGTAAACTTGAGCAGGGTAAATGGAAATATTTTATTAAATTTGTCTGGCCTTTTGCAATTTTAAAATTTGTTGATTGCATTTTTTCTTGAACTTTCAGCAACAACCACTTTTCATATTTGTTTGAGATTATAAGAATGTTTGAAATCAATTGAAACTGTGTATGTCATTCTGCAGCTGTAGTGCCAGCTCCTGAGCTAGATCCTCTAGGCAGATCTAGTGCTTGTTGCAGATGAGATATTGGCAGGACACTGAATGGTTTGAAATGGCGTTTTCTTTTGTTTCTTTCTTTCTTTTTTCTCTTTTTTTTTTTTCTAGTCTGGAATATGTCGACAAATACTTCCAAACATAAGCAAAGAGCAAGCTATTCTTGTTCCAAATATCCCAAAAGCCGAGAGCTGCAACTGCAAGCACAGCTTAAAACCTTTACAAATAATGAGTCTGCCTATATTGTTCTATACAGGGTTAGTCCACGTGGCACACAAAGTAATAGAATTTATATGTAGTTCGCCAGAAGGCTATTGAGATGTGAGTGGAATGGAAAAGAAATTGTGTTTTATACTGTGTATTCTGACCCCCTTTTTAGCCTCCTGTGTTGCCCAACCAAAGATTATATAATAAGAGAAGGAAATCAAATCTGCATGTCTCAGCTCTCAGTCCCTTTTGACTGTAGGGGACAGGCCATAAGGACAGGTTGTGCCACTTGGATTGTGTAATTTCAACTAATAAAAGAAATAATGCTGTTTTCTCTCGATTGCCTTCAGGTCTCCTTCCAGGTACGCAGGCAGGGAAGGTTCAAGGCACTAACATGCTTGCATTACATTATTATTGCTCACTTTTATTGACAGCTTTATTGGAAAGCCCTTTTTTTTTTTTTTTCCCCCAGATGGCGGTGATAAATAATTGGCAACTTCCTTTTCTAATAATCTTTTTATAATCTAATAATCTTCTAATAATCTGTAGGAGAAAATCCTGCTAGCTTTGAACTGTTTGCTTGGTGGACTCAGCCTGTCAAACGTCATCTTTAAATAACTAGAGACTCTGTTTTGTTTGTTTGTTTCGTTGGTTGGTTGGTTTGGTTTGGTTGGGTTTTGCAAGAAGCATTTCCATGTTCCTGTGTAACCTGGCAAGTCCCCTCTGTGTGAGGTAAATGAGCAGTCGGCTCCCTCAGCGAACGATCAGAATGAGGAGTCAGGAGCTGCAGTCTGTTCCGCTGCACTCCGTATGTTATATGGACCATCACTAACCCCGCTGTCGGTGATGTTTTGCACTACTTCCCATCATGTCTACTGGTGCCAGTGGTAATTGGGTGTTTTGCTTAGCTCTTGCAAAAGGAGGGCTTGGCACTGCGAGCATGCAGGCGTGATTTGGATTCCAGGCACAATGCAGCGTGGCATCGGCTGATCCCTTGTGCCTTTAGTTCTGAGGATCCCCAGCAGCGTGTTTCCCCTTGAACCCAAACAAGTCGGCCCCAAAATAACTTTCTGCCTCTCTCCATGCACACAACCATGTCAAAGGCTCTAAGTACAAGTCGTGTGCTGCAGATAGGCACATGTTGGCTTTAGCAGTGAAAATAATGGCTTAGGAAAATGTATTTTTAACCTGCCTCATAGCAATGGTCTGACTTGTGTCTTGGCCCCACAGGGACCTGGCGCGAACTGGAAGTTAATGCACGATGAACTTGTGCCCAGGAGGAGCTGGGAAGAGAGCTCCGCTTCCCGGGCACTCCTGCTGCCCACACCCTGCCAAGTGTCAGGGTAGGGCGCTGTGTTCTTCTGGTTGACCTGTCCTCATCTGCTCCGAAAAGCAGCTGCTTTCAATTTAGCCGGGCACTTGTGTAAGGTGAGAGGGATCCTGTCTGGTGAAGGGCAGCGCTGCGGTGTACGGGGGTTATTACTTGAGGAGTCTTCCAGGAGCTCTGCACATTTTGTTTTCTGAGCTGCCTGATGAGTTTGCAGGTTCTGTCCGACACTTGCAGGGTGTCTCTGACCATAACTGAGATAACCCAGGCCTCGTGAAATTAGATTTTCCTGCCCAGTTCCACTATTTGAAATACGGTGGATTTAATATAATTTAAAATCTCAGTATTGATGGGCTTTTCTTTTCCATCTGCTGTTGATTTTGGCAGTGTTGTAAACAAATTCCCTGCCCAAATTGCTTATAGGCAAATACTGCATGCTTTAATGAGAGTTCTTAATCTAACTTGTCACTCTGTGTACTTCAAACAGTTTCTTCCTAGCCCTTTATCTAATTTTCTTCATCTCTCATGTGCGGTTTCTCTTCATTCTCTTCACAATCCCTTTATCTTTTCTTCAAGGAAGTGCAACTCAAAAGTGTTTATTTTGACAATATTGCTCAGTGATTTCTCTGCAAATGAACGATGCCTACAGTGCACATCCAGTGATGCTCCTACAATAGAAGCCTTATCAAAGGGCTGAATTTGGCCCTTTGGCTTTTCTGTTGAGCAAATTAACACATTAAAAGGTAGCAGATAAAAAAGCTTGGCTAAATGTAATCAGAATTTCTTTCAGTAAACATTCAGTAACTAGTTTCCAAGCCGTTGGTTGCAATCAGTGAGCAGGACTGGAAGCAAACTACTACACAGATTCTCTTTGTAGTCTTGCCTTCTTTTGCCTTTTTCAAGGTGTTAGAAGTGATTCTGTGAAGAGAAATGTGCTGGTGCCCTCCAACAGATTGTTTTCTAGCAGAGATGATCACTGTGCTCCTGTGGGAGGATGTGTGCGGCACACAAGGGTGCGCTCAGCCCGTAAGGCAGTCACGTCGCAGGCCGCTGCTGGGAACTGGGGTGCTGAGGAGTCTCTGCAGGCGCCTTCTCAGTCGCTGCTGGGGGTGAAGCTCCCGCTACCGAAGCTGCCGCACAGCCGCGCTGCCGCTGGCCCTGCTTGGGCGGCGCCGGCGCAGACCGCTGGGGAGAAGGGCTCTATGGCAGCACCTCGTGGCCCTGACGGCGACCAGAGGGCACCACGGGGTTCTGTTGTGGTGAGCCAGTGCCCTCAGTTCTGTCTTCCTGGCTTTTTGCTCCCTTTTGATGAACAAAAGAATTAAGAGGAGCTTAAAGGGAGCATAGACATAATAGAAATTTCTCTGACAGCACTAAGCATTAGACCTATTTTTCTACCTATAAAAAGCTTGCCCTACATGAGTGCTACCCATTAAGAAAGAATGAGATCAGTCCTTCACTAAAGACATTCACTCCAGTTCTTGCATCTTGTTTTTTTATGATTTTATTATCATTTATTTTACATAGGGATACAGCAAGGCTGGATGCTACACAGTTGCACAGCAAAAGAATTCCTGCCCTGAAGAGATGAAGAATCCAAACTATGGTCAGAGTACTTGGTCTTTGGTTGTATTAGTAGTCTAGGTCAGTGGCTGTTAGGTGTTTTGTGCAGAAACAGCCTCTACTGCTGTTTAGCAGGTGTTAGAGGGAGGATTTTTGGTTTGATACTGGGGAATTCCAGGTAGCCCTCTATGAAGTTATTTTTCTGCTGTTTTTAGAGAAGCATGTGCTCACCACTGAGGTGTTTCTTCAGCACCGTTAGTGCTGTTTCAGCACTGCTGTTTCTTCAGCATGAAGACCCGTGCCAAAGCACTGTTAGAGCACGGGCCTGGGCATCAGGTCTGCTGGGCTTTCATCCCAGCGGTGCGACTCTGCGTGTCGTGTAGCCTCTTGGTGTCTCCGGGCCCCTGTGCTGAGCACGCGTGGCGAGTAGTGGAGGAGCCCCTTGGCTGAGAGGCCAGACGGGAGATTGGAGGCGCTGGCCACAGGCTGAGTATTGTCTCTAGTGCTTACTTGGGAAGCGCAGTAAAACACAAGCAGTTAACTGCTGCAGAAACCAAATAGCTAGCCCCTTCCTTAGGATAAACTCGTGGCTCTGTTGAATTTGATGGAAGTCTTGCCAGTGCATTTAGCGAGCTTGTACTTTTGTCTTGTGTGTCATCCTGGTCACAAAACGCAGGGCAAAGCGGCAGGACGCGCCATCTGATAGAGCGCTCCTCCCCACCGTGCCGTACGGTGCAGTGCCGCAGGCACTGTCCTGAACACGCTGCTGTGCTCCAGGTAACCCAGCTGCCTGTTGATGCCTTCATGTACAAACTGTGCTGCAAGTTGCCTTTTGTACTTGGCCAGTTTTTTTCCCGTTTGGATGTGACTCATCTGTTCCGAACTGATGTTACTGCAGACTGTGACTCTGTCACATACATCTGATTTAAAAACATTGAGTCTTACGATTTATTACAGCCTTTACATATTCACATGGGCTACTTACAGTGCAAGCTGCTTCTCATATTTGATACTGTTTGAAATTATCCTGGTTGGCACAATGCCCTAATTAGGGCATCAGAAGTGTTGGTAAATTATGAAACAAATGTTCTCAAAGTAAAAGCATGCAAGCTTCAAGCTCTGCTTATAGGTTTTTAGTGTTAAGATCCAGCTGCTTTTAATGCTTACAGATAAGATGAAATTACAAGGAAATTATTCACTCAGTTTTATTTCTTAAGCTCACATTAAGGCTGGAGAAGTCACGTTAGGAAGCTTGAGACCGTGCAGATTCCTCTGTGGAAAGGGAAACACCTTGGCTTACAGATCCCAGCCTTTGGCTCCAGGAATCTTTCAGAGTCCTCACAACCCCAGTAAGTGATGGGATTTCCAAAGTTCTCTCAGGACTTTTTCACAGGTAGTTTTGAAATCCCAGCAGGAATCGTTTCATTTCCCACCACCGTTTTTTTTTTTTTTAGGCTATGCTCGGCTTAGTGTTCAAGCAGGTATTAGGAGATGTGCAAGCTTGAGGTCTGGGCAAATTATCTGCTGAGGTCAGTGACCTTGCCAATGCAGAAGATGTCTCAAGTATATGAGACAAGGTGTGCTTGTATGAGTGGGCAGCCTTTGGGCATCACCTATGCTATATAAGTTATATGAGTTGCTATATAAATGTACGTTTTAATAGATTTTCATTTCAGACAGGGTATGT